CAGGTGGGGGGGCGGTCGTGTGTGTGTGTGAGTGTGTGTGTGTGTGTGTGTTGACGTATTGTGACAGGGCAAAGCATGGGGGATGGCGGGGCTTGGTTGGGCGTTTGGGGATGAGCGAGGGCGCTGAGGTGGCGCCGCAGGCACGCTTTCAAGGGACAGCGCATTCGCCCAGGCAGAGAGCCCGCCCAGCGGCACGCGCCCGCCGGCCCGGGCGGGAGGCGGGCGCCTGTCCTCTGCTGCGCCTGGACGTGCCCGCGGGCCGGCACCGATAACATGCGGGTTTTGTGTGCCGAAGAGGTCCCAAACCCACCTCGAAAAGCGGCAGCATCAAATCCTCATAGCCGCCCTCAAGGCGCGGCAGCAGCGCGCGTGCGCCCAGCAGCAGCTGCGACTCCATGGCTGCCTGCCGCTTTGCGCGGGTTCTGATTTGGAAATTAGAGGTATGTTTAGGGTCCACAGGGGGCTGCTCGCCGCCGCTCCGCGCGCTGGGTGCTGCAGATGCCAGTGGGTGCGGGGACGATGCCGGGCGATGCCCAACTGGTGTGTCGACGGGGAGGACAGGGGCTGCGCTCGCGCTCCGTAGGACGCGAGCTGCAAGAAAATATATTTAAGTGAGGGTCGCGAAGATTCAGAACGCGATGGTGCGTCCAAGACAGGATGGGGCAAGTGCCAACTGCGCGATATGGGCCAGGGGGCCGCGGGGCGGAGGAGGCACGCTGAAGAAACAACGTTTTGATTCAAGTAAACGCGGTGGGTAATGAGGCTTTGCGCGGGAAGGCGACCATGTTTTCTTGCATCACTTGCAGGTGCTGCTCCGCTGCCTCTGCCCAGGTATCCCCCGGATGTGCTTCCCCCCGGTGTCGGGTGGCTGTGACGATATCAATAGCAATGACATCATACATTTAGTAAAACGTCAGCACAACACGGACGGCCCAGCAGATCATCGGCCTTGATCTGCAGAGATGGCCGATCCCAGCGCCCAGGAGCAGCAGCCCCCAGCGGAGGCCGCTGAGGTTCCAGAGGTAGCTGCCAAACCACAGGACGGTCCACAGGAGCCCGCGCCCGCGGAACAGGAGCCCGAGCCCCAGCAGGAACAGCAGCAAAATGCAGCAGCGGCCCCAGCGGCGGAGGGCGCTGCAACGCCTGCGGCGCAGGAGGATCCCGCCCCGCAGCAGCAGGAGCAGCAGCAAGAGAAGCCCTCGGAACCCCAGCCCGCATACCCGCAGCCCCCTCCTGAGGGCGCCGCGCCAAACGGCGCGCCCAGCGCCGCGGCGGCGGCAGCAGGGGCGCCCAAGCGCACCGCCGAGCAGGCCGGCCTCGGCGGCGGCGCTGACGAGGACGCGCGCCCCTCTAAATCACTCCGGCTCGACGGTGGGTGGCTGCTTGAAGGAGCCAAGCGCTTTCGTGTAGCGGCCGCCGCATGCGGGCGCCCATGGGCTCTCATGCGGCCGGTCGGGGGTCCGCCATTGCACCGCCTCCGCGGCCCCAGCCGGCCCCGCCGCGCCCCGCTACGTGCGGCCGCACACAGCATGCTCCCCGCTCCGCCGCTCCTGCATCCGCGCTGCCCCGCATGCACCAGGCCCGCCGCTTGTGACGGCACGCCCTGCGGGCCTGTGTTTGAAGCGCGTGGCGCGCGCACTGCGAGTCAGGAAATTACCCCCACCTCACCACTTGTTACCAAATCGTCCCCTGAAATGGTGCAGGCTTTGATCCAGCAGTGCGTGCCAAGCTCACAGCCCTGGTGGATGGCCGCGTGGTGAGCTTACCGGCGCGGCGAACGCCGCGCGGGCGCCGACCCAATTGCACATACGTCCGCGCGCCCCGACTGCCCCTGCAACGCCGAGGCCGCAGCCCCCTGCCGCGCCGTTCCCGCCGTGTCCGGCCCTCAGCCGCACACATGCATGCACTCTACGCATGCCCCTCGCCACCGCGACGCGCACCAAGTGCGTGCGCCGGCGGCCCGCGTTTCTCCCCATGGCTGATGGCGGCGGATGTTGAGGGGTCGACCTCCGACACGCTGCTGAAGCTTGACCCTGTGCATGCTGCATGCAGACGCCATGACTCCCTCCCCCCACCCACCCCACCCCCCCACGGTCTTGTTCGCAGCTGACAGCAGCGGACGTGGAGGGTTCGACATCAGACACGCTCCTGAAGCTCGACCCCGCGTCCGGCCTGGAGCTCCTTGATGCGCTCGCGGCCGCGGGGCTGGCGGGCGCGGCGGACGGCCCGGCGCGGCGCGCGATGGTGGTGGTGACGGTGGCGCGGTTTGCGCAGCGCGTGAAGCCCCAGATGGACCCGGTGGTGAGCGGTTTGGATGGGTTTTTTGGGGGGTTTCTGATGGAGTTCGGGGAGTTTGTGCATGTGCGTGTGTGTGTGTGTGAATGCGCGTGTGTGTGTGTGCCTGTGTGTGTGTGTGCGTGTGTGTGCATGTGTGTGCGTGCTGCTGTGATGCTGGGGAGCAGTGGAGAGCGTGCACAGCAACGACGAATAAATTTGATGTGTGTGCGCGCATTCGTGGGTGTGAGGAGGTGTGGTGAGGGAGTGCAGTAGAGCGCCCCTAGCACAGGGCACAGCCGCAGCCGCGAAGCACTCCCCGACCGCCCCCAACCGCCCCCAACCACTCCCAACCACCCCCAACCGCCCCCAACCGCCATGCACACCCAGGTCAAGGCGAAGCTGGAGGCGCTCTACACCACAGGGGGCGGCCCCGTGAAGCCGGGGGACCTCGACGAGCGCTGCATAGAGCGGCTGAGGGAGATCGCGCCGACTACGGCGGCGGCGGTGCTCGACACGTTTGCGAACAAGAAGTGAGCCCGGGGGCTTGTGAAATAAGGGGGTCTTTTGGAATCATGGGGTCTTTTGTAACCATGGGGGCTTTTGGAGTCGTGGGGGCTTTTGGAGTCATGGGGGCTTTTGGACATTCCGGAGGCTTTTAAATCTTGTTGAAACCTTTGTACCCGCGGGCCATCTTTGTGCCCGCCCCGCGTCGCCCCATTGAGTTTGGAAGTTCAGACGTCAGGGTTCACCCATCCCAAACCCTGACATGGTCTCTACCAAGAAGTCAGCCCAAAGCCGGGGTCCTTTCGATTCCTAATGTTTCGACCTGCGGCGCCGCTTCGATCCCCGCCGCCTCATCCTGTTCATCGCTTTCGAAAGTGTCGGCCGCGGCGGGCCGTTTGGGTGCTCACAGATCCTGACAGCGAGTCAGCGGGCGCGTGCGGCACGCAGGCGCTGGGCGGGCGGGAGAGTGCGGTGCTCACAGCCCATTCGCACACCACTCCCCCTCCCCCTGTAGCCAGCCTGCTGCGTACCCAGGCCCCCCAAGCTCTCCCGGCCGTGCAAGGCCCCGAGCCTTTCTCCGATCCACCTGCAC